CTGGAATGTTCTGTAAAGCGAGAAATGATGAGAGAGAGAGAGAGAGAGAGAGAGAGAGAGAGAGAGAGAGAGAGAGAGGAGAGAGAGAAAAGATTTATTTTTTAAAATAGATTTGGCCTAGCATGATGGCACACACCTATAATCCCAGCATTTAGGAATCAGAAGTAAGATCAAGAGTTCAAAGTCATTCTCATCTACACTGTAAATTGAGGACAGCCCTAGGCTACATGAGATCCTGTATTTAAAACAAAGAGAAAGAGGGGCTGGAGAAACAGCTCAGCAGTTAAGAGTACTTACTACTCTTCCAGAGGACACAGGTTCAGTTCCCAGTGTCCACATGGTGGCTAATACCCATCCTTAACTCCAGTATCCAGGAAATCTAACACCCTCTTCTGGCCTCAGCAGGCATGCACATGGTATACTTACACACATGCAGGCCAAACACTCACACCTGTAAGATAAATAAAATCTTTAAGTTTTTTACATAGCGCTGACTCCATCCATTTGCATTTCTTGTCTACACTTGTTAGCTAGTCCTGACCAAAAAATAAATAAATAAAGGGAGAACAAGGTTTTGTTTTGAAATTGTACTTCTACAATGTGGCCTCAGTGTGTAGAACAGAGTGGGTAAGCACAAAGTTCTGCTAACCCTCCACAAGGAAGCCTGAACTATCAGGGGATTGCAGGTGATCAGGTGACCTTTCTCTTCTGTGTTCTGTATATTTGCACAACTAGTACGGCATGAGTAAGATCATTCCAATAGTCTGGATTCTTCTGTGCCACCATATCCTACGGGTGTATTTCCTCAGTCATAACTGTAGCTACAAGACATTTGCTCTGATTTTAAAAAAAAAAAAGACCGCACTGACCACTGAGGCTATTGAAACTTTGCCCTGGGCTTATTATTGTCATTCAAACTTCCATCAATACTTGAAAGCCTAGAAAGCATCTAAAATGATGTGAGAAATTGTTTTCTTTTACATTGCTGTGCATCCTTAGCTGAAAATGAAATAGAATTTCTACTCTAGGCACAACTATATACACCATGAGTAACAAGCTACAAGTTCTTTCAGTTCTCACTGACCAATCACAGCAGTTCATATGTAGCCACCAGGTTGGCCCCATATTCTTAAAATGCTTATTTGGCATGTATTCATCCCCCAGTAATGGAGGGTCTCTAGAGTAATGTTCACTCTGTTACTGATGCAGAACATAGTTTAGCTCTCTCCAGGACCCAGGAGCAGTTGAA